GTGCTTGAAGTTTTACAATTAGTTTTATGTACATACTTTTCAAGAATATATCTTCTCAATAGAATCATTTTACTATTTGTGCCCTTTTTCTTTTGGGGATTTTTACTTGGAATATTCCAAGCGTGTCATAACTTTATCATTGCACATAACAATGTTATATATAACACAACATTTCACGTAACTATTTAATTGTCTTATTAAGATGACAATTAAAAAATCATGCTGTGATATATCACTCGTTAACATGCATTTTCGGCATTTTTTTAAAGAGATGCATTGTGGTAGAGAGACCTAACAAATATTGCACTATCACAAATCCTTGTATGCAAATGTTAGACTCCCAACCATAATGATCATATCAAAATGTTCAACCATTATCCCAACGAATAATTATTAAATGATTTCGAACGTTAGCATTAAAGAAATTATCTTAATATAAAAATTTGAGATTGTTCTCGTAATTGAATAATTAGAGTAAATAATCTCACAAACTCCAAGTTATGAATGTGTCAATAAATATACATGCGACCATCCAGTGGATCCAAATATTTATATTATATAATTTCTAGATAGTCTAGGAGGTGAGCGGCCCAATAAAGTTCACCTTCAATACGTATCAGATATGCTTGGATTTTCCGTCTCAATTTTAGTAGCGATGTTCAAATTGTAAAAATGAGAACAAAAGTCGTATAGGAATTAATTGAATTCAAGAATTTTCTGGTTCTTTAATTTATATTTATTCAAATTTTTTAATAATTTTATAATTATTATTGGTCGGGGATGGTCTATTCAATTAGCCAAACGATAAAAATATTATTTAAGTTATTGAACGTTTGATTTAATATAGTATTTGTTCAATTCTGATTATGCCCTTATTCGGCCCCCATTAAATTACATTACATTACATTAAATTTTTTTCTCTCTTCATTTCAACCACACATTCATCAAATAAAATAATATTGCACACAAATCAAAAAAATTTCAACCACACATTCTCCCATCAATCACTATTCTTAAAATTTTCAACCCCCAAAAATGCAAAATAATGGAGGCCAAACAGGAGCTATATTTATATATTATGAACAAAATGAAAGTGAGGGTAGAGATGTCAATCCGGGTGGTCCGGGCCGGATCGGCCCTCCAACATATAAGCCCGGTAACGGCCCGTATGAAAAAAAGCCCGCCCGCTACGGGTTTCTGGCCGATTTCGGGTCGGCCCACAAATTTTGGACTACAACCTAGGCCCGTCCGCTGACCCATCCGGGTCGAGCCCATGCGGGTCACTAGTCGCAGTTTGTTCCGGTTTGGCCCGTATTATTGTATAAATTAGGGCTGTCCGTGGGTCAGTTCGGTTCGGTTATGTTTTGAAGAGACCCGAACCGACCCAAAACTTTTGGGTATTTAATAAATGGACCCGTCGGGTCCAAATATAATTATGGAACCGTTCGGATTCAGTTCCTTTCGGTTCGGTTCGGTTCGGTTCTGGTCGGTTCGGTTCCGTTCGGTTTCGTACCATAATTAAATTTTTTAATATTTACAGCAACACTACATAAATACAACTAATGACATTTCATTCGTAACTTTTACAAATTAACGGAACCCAATTCAAAAACATATAAATAACTAGTCGTCCAATATGATTAATTCAATGCATACAAATACCAAAAAGTAGATATTAATATTACAGTAACACTACATAAAGTATATTCATTTGCTTCAAATTAAAATGGGCTAATGGGTTTTAAAAATGATTTGGATTTTAAAATTAAAATTATGAAATAATCTGATTTATTTAATTAGTTTTCTAATTTGTTTAAAAAAATAAAATAATTTAATTAATTCAATATAAAAAATAAAAAAATTATTTAGTTTTGGTTCTTATTCGGTTCTTGGTCTAGACCTGACCCAAACCCATCGGTTCTCGATTCGGGTACCCGTTCGGGTATTTAATTTATGAAGAACGGCTCGGTTCGGTTC